CTTCTTCTTCTTCTTCTTCTTCTTCTCACAATACAGTTGATTTCTTCATGTTGACTATATATTTGGTGACTGTGAAATCACTGATTTATCTGACAATCCTTTTGGATTTCATGTATGGCCAAACGTGTCTTCAGTAAGGAACAACATCCTCTGTCCTCCTTTGCAGAGGGACAGACTATGGGCCCCTACAGATCGGGGGAGGAGAGGCAGTGATAATTGCCTTATTTGCTCACTAATCTCAGAGGGAAATCTCTTAAGACCTCATCACTCAACATAGAATCTGCAGCAAGGTGTGCTCAGACAGTGCTTGTGGATTTTGTCCTTTCTAAGATACTGTGAGTATTTGTCATAAGGGCTGTTGATTTTTTTTAAGTAACTCTTTGTGCATTTATTAATCTAATCATCATTTTATTCTTTTAAAATGGTGAATTACACTCATTAATTTTCAAATATTAAATGAATATTATATTCTGGGAAAGATTCCAACTTGGTCTTAATTCACTGGCTAAAAAATTTTAAGATGGCCGGGCGGTGGTGGCGCACGCCTTTAATCCCAGCACTCGGGAGGCAGAGGCAGGCGGATCTCTGTGAGTTCGAGGCCAGCCTGGTCTCCAAAGCGAGTTCCAGGAAAGGCGCAAAGCTACACAGAGAAACCCTGTCTCGAAAAAAAAAAAACCAAAAAAAAAAAAAAATAAAAAAAATAAATAAAAATAAAAAAAAAAAAAATTTTAAGATGTTTCCATCTACGTTTCTGAGCATGCGATCTTCCTTCTTATGATGTCTTCATCCAGTTTTGTATTCAACTGATGTGAGCCTCTGAAAATGGGTTTGTATTTTTTATTCTTGGAAGTCTTTGGGTAAAGTTTATCTTATTTCTGCTTTAAAGGGCTGGGAAAGGTCACCCGGGGAACCTTCTGTGTGCACCTTTTCATGCAGGACGCTGTGGTTGCAGGAATATTTGTGCGGATGTGCCACGGTTGCAGGAATATTATTTGTGTAGATAGATGCGTCATGCTTCAGCCTCTCACTTCCTCTTTTTGCTCAGGTTTTCAGATTTTCACCGACTTTGTGTATTTCATCTGAATTGTCAAATTTATCTCATCTTTCTATCTTCTTAAGCTTAACAGTTGCAAATCCCTGTAGTTTCCGATAATGGTAATCTGTCTGCTCCTCTGTTGCAGATCTTCCTTAGGTTTGGTTTTGGTTCCCGAGATTTTTTTTTTTAAGCTACATTATGCATTCTTTCTCTCTCCTGTTAAGTCAGCTTTCAGCTATTTCATTCCTTTTCCCCTTTCCCCTCCTCCCTTTCTGAATACTCAGGGACCTGATTAGCACTCTCTCTTCTTTTCCAGTTCACACTGTCTGGCTGTATTTTGTTTCTCAGCAAGAAGAGCTGCAGCTCGTAGGCCGGCAACATCATCACAGTGTGCCTGGCCCAGATAGTGTGTGCTTCCTTGGAATTTTGATTTGTTCTCTGTATTTTAAAGTAATAATCACGTTGCTTAATCCCCATACTTGGAAGTTTTCTCTTGCTTTTTGAGACTGGAGTTAGCATTGTTTCTCTATAAGTGCAGAATGTAGTCTACCATCAATCTTTGTAATTAAAATTGTTCATTTATATTTAGGTTTACATTCAATAAGAGCTAATCACTTGTGTGCAGTGCTGTGATGGAGGATACATTTAAGATCACAAAAGCCCCACCTCAGCCAGCTCAATTCAGGTCGAGGGCAGAGTTTCTGTGATTCTCCCATGTAGAAGTTCCAAGTTTGTTTAGTTGTATTTCTAATATCAACCCTTTGAAAATCTATTAAGATTTACTTTAGGTCTCAGCATCTTGTTAATTTTGTTAAAGGTTCTGTATATTCTTGGAAAGATATACTCATTGAATTCACCTCTTTATAGGTCCATATAGTAACTATGTTGTTCACATCTCTTAATTTGTGTTTCTGTTTAAGTTTACATAGTAGTTATGTGGAGAGTTGCGTTAGATATTTGTTTAAGACAGTTTTTCTTTCTCCCTTTATTTCTTCCATCTGCTGTTGTTTATTTTGTGTATGTTTGGTTAGGGACACACACAATTATATTTTGCATCCTGTTAGTCGGTCATATACTGACAGAGATCCCTGTCTGTCTCAGTGGATAGGCTTGTTTTGCCTTTCTGTATTGATGAACCTGCACAAATTCTGTCTTGGTGCCTTCAACATTGTGTGTCAGCTTTCCTACTTCCTGAGAAGTAAAGTATAGTTAGTCAAGTGGGCTGTCTGGTAATGTTTATTTTAAAAGCCAGGGCCTTTAGCGTATTTACATTTAGTGCAGTTTTTGATCTGTTGGGGTTGATGTCTGCTATCTTATTTGTGTTCTGTTTGTCCTTCCCGACTCACACCCCTGTTCCTTTTTTCCTGATTTCTTCCAAGGTAACTATTCCTGCATTCTTCTTCACTTTAGGCATTCACTATCCCTCCAGTCCTAAAGAAGGGTTCCCCCTTCTCTATACACGTCCCCTCCCTTCGCTGACAGTGAGCTCTGGTCTTTTTGATAATCTGTCTTTTATTACCCTGAATTTCTGTGCTTCTCTTTTCAAAACAATCTCTCTCTTGATTAAGAGTTGGCACATTGAAGTCATCTGAGTGAGTCAAATCTTGGTTTCACAACTCACTCACTGTGTCTCTATGGTCAAATTTCCTAACCTCTGTTTGTCTCCATCTCTCCATTTGAAATATGGAAATTATGTGACTAGGGTTATTATGAGCACCGAACAAGGTCAAGTCTATAAAAACGCTTGACGTTAGCCTGGTATAACGTGTTTGAAAAAGTGTTAACTGTTACTGTTCTTAGGAAGCACGGCGGGTGAGGTAAAGCGGTGGTATTTGGAATTCAAAAATATAGTATCTATCTTTAGTAGGATCACTTCCATTGTCTGCTGGAGTTATTTCTATTAAGGTGTCTTGATAGTTCCTAAACTGAATATGTCAAAACTGAAGCCTTTGCTTTTTTGACACAGAGTCAATCATTCCTGATGTTTTTGGTGGAACTTCTATATATTCAGCTCTCTAAGATGACAAACAGGGTGGGTTCAGACTCCCCCTCTGCCCTCTGTCCTGTCTGTCACTGTCGCTAACCAATTATTTTTCTCTGATGTTCCTGCTTCCTCCTTTTATCCCTTCGTCTGGTGCCTGTGCACGAACACAGGCCTTTCTCACTCCACTTGCTAATTTTAGTCGTTCTAACTTTTGTCCATTCTCCTGTTGAATCTGCACCCCAGCATTGAGAATCTTCTTATAATTCGACCGCTCCATTCCCTTGCTTTGCTTTATGAAACCTCTCCCTAATGCTCATGGCCCCCAGCTCCTTGCAGCTGTGAATGGGAGTCCTTCACAATCAGATCCAATTTGTCCCGTTACTCTCATGACACTAAGACTCCTCCTCATTAATGAGAAGAGGGGTCTGGCATTGGCGGCAGAAAGCAGATCTGAGCACACCTGGAAAGCACCTAGCCTCAGGTCTTCAATAAAAGTGCCATGATCTTGAGGAGGTGCTTGGTTCTAGGGCTAGGAGAAACTGTAAAGCAAACTTGGAATGTCTTGTGGTACCCAAACGTAAGGAGACAAATAAAGGTCAGGCTGTTAAAAACACAAAGGCTCCAACCGGAAAGAGCCATAACAGTCAATCTCTAATCAATTTAGAAACAATAAGAACAGTAGTAAATTTAATCCATGCAACAAATATCCATGATAATTGCCTATATACATAATCAAATAAACTAATTTGGGAGAAGAGACAGCTCTTTCTCACAGTTGTATTTCAATTATAAACTGGAGGAGGAGAGAAAAATAAATAGTGCCTCTCAGACAAACCTCGAGTAATAAATCCTTCTGGAGAAGGTAGCTAGCATAGCAGAGCCGTTTTCTGAGGAGAAACCTGGCAGTCTAGTCAGAAAGCTTATCAACATCATGAGTCCTGAGCTAGGATGTGCTGAGAAGCACAAATGTTTGGTTTTGTGGTAAATTGCCAAAAATGAATAATGCAAATTTGTGTATACTCAATAAATTAACAGTTAATTTACTAGTTAATTGTTAATTGATCAACAGTCTTAGGTATAAAATATAGGTATTGAAATATAACAAGCCTAAAGAATTCTCATAGACTATTATAAACCAAGGAAAAGTTGCAGGAGAATACAGCACGGGATCCTGGGAAAGGTCTTAGAACGTTGGAATATTGCTGAGAAAACTGGAATTTTGGATCAGATCTAAAGTATGCTTATTAATAATGTGTTAATGTCAGTTTCTCATTTAAACACTTTTTAGGTATGTGTCTCTGTCTAGGCTTGCACACAAGAGCGCAGGTCCCTGCAGAGGCCAGCGACACAGGATCTCCCGGAGTTGAAGTGACAGGGAGTTGTGGTGTGCCTGCTGTGGACGCTGGGAACCCCACTTCAGTCTTCCTCAAGAGCAGCAATGTTTTAAATCTCTGAGTCACGTCACCAGCCCCCTAATTTTGTTTTAATCATTGGGATGTGTTTTCATAATATAATAATGTTAAGGGGAGAAAGACAAAGCAAAGCAAAGAAAGATACATACCATTTTTTTTTATCTTGTAAGCCTAAAATTAGTTCAAATTAGCAAGAAGAGAAACATGAAAATCCGATCTACCGGCCGTCTTACAATGGATTCCTAACCTTCATGTCTAGGTTCTCCCTTGCTAAATCCACCTCTGTTTTCATGCGGTCTTTAGAGATGCAAGGCACACGATAACTGGCCCATGCACTTTGTTGTACGGTTGACTCTCACGTGATTTGAGTGCCTATGTCTCCCACAGGTTCACCCCTGAACAGTTGGCCCCCAGTGGTGGCAGTGCTTAAGGGAGCTATGAAAACTCCAGGAGGTGTGTGTGTGGGGGGGGGGGGCTAGCCAGAGGTCATAGGTCACTTGTGGGGCATGTCTTCTGGGGTCTTCCCGACTTCTGATAAGATCTCTTCACTTCTTGTCCTCTCAGCTATGGACAGGACCACTCCTGTCGCTGTGCACGTGGCCACACCTTCGCCAGCGAGAAACTCTGAGCAAAATAAAATTTCCTCTTCTGTCCTGCGATGACAAGAATAACGAATGTCAATCCCAACTGTCTGCTGTTGCCTGAGTTGGCAGCTGATGTGCTGGCTAACAGTTTTAATTCGTGAGTTTTCTCATCATTAAAATGGACGTTTTATTAAAGCATTGCCAAGGTCACGGGAGACTGGAGAAGCAATGTTGAGCACAAAAGGCTTGCACACAGTAGGTGCTCAACACAATTAAGATGCCAGAATAAATGCAGTATCTTTTAGAGGCTCTCTGATTGGCAAGATGACCTCAGTCACTCTGGATCCCTTCAGTATATAACCAATTCAATTCATACCACTTAAATACGTATTTGATATTCAATAAACTGCTCTTAAGTTTAGATAATTCCCTCAATTAAATATAAAATCTCTCGATGCCGAGTCATATTATTCTATCTTGCAGCAACTGCCTTATTCGGCATGCGGCACACAGCGCATGATGGATGTTCACTGACTGACTGATTAGAAACTTGGCAACATGGTATTCTTTCAGCTTCCTAATGAGCTGAAGGTTTCATACACTGATGATATTTAATACACTGAGAAATCTGCAACCAGCAAGTGTGCAGAAATGTTCAAATACAGGACTGGAGAGATGACTTAGCAGTTAAGAGTATGTACTGCTCTTGCAGAGAACTGGGGTCTGTTCCCAGGACCAATATAGGAAGGCTTACAACTGCTTTTCACTCCAGGTCTTCCAGCTGCTATGACGCCCTCTTCTGGCATCTGGGGGTATTCACATGTGCATACACACACACACACACACACACACACACACACACACATGAAATTAAAAGTAAAATCTTTATATATAAAAAAGGAAGTTAGGTGACATCACATTAGTGTGAACATCATCAATTATCAACACTTCCTGAAAGCTTCCCTTGTGCCTGGCTCATCCTTCGCCTTTGGTACCTCTCACACTACTAAAGTCTCAGGTCAAGGATTAGAGAGCTAATCACAAGTAATTAACGCATCAAGAGCAAAGCTCTTGCTCTGTTTTCTTCATTCTCCATCATATCTCTCAACAGACAAAGCTTAACGCGGCTCTTCCATTTCAATACCAGTGACTCGACTCTTCTAAGCCCTAGAATCCCAGACAGAAGGGAAGCACATATTTTTTTCAAGACCATTAGTGCATGTTCCAACCATCCATATATTCATTTTTTTCATTTGATAATATTCACCAGGAAGCCACCTAGCACATGTGATACAGATTCCCTGTGTCTGTCGGGAACAAAACTCCCCAGCGACTGAACCCTTCTGAGAAGCTAACTTGTGGTTAGGAATGACTGCTGCATGGGATTGTGGGTAGACATCAATGGTCTATGCATTCTCCCTTGGAGCCCTCCTGTTCTCCTTCAGTCTCCTGAGGTTGATGGAGATTTGTCAATCATATCTTATGCAAACCACCCTCTCCAAAAGTCAGGCTTGAAGGATGATGACCTTCACACTCAAGACTCAATGCCTCCGAAGCAATCTCCATTATTTGATTCAAACATCAGGAATGAATAGAAGGACCATTACGGAGCTCAGGGGGGTGCTCTGATCCCTTTACATGCCTTCTGGCTTATCCATGTTGACTACGTAGTTATGCCACTGTGGACAGAGTTGAGCAGAATGTAAGTGTTTTCCAGTCTTACTTCCTATGGCATGGGATGTCTGAGCCCCCTTATGCCTTTTTAAAAAGCATTTTATTTGTTATGATGGTGATATATGGGTGGGAGAGTGGGCATGTGGTCAGAGGACAACTTGGCTGAGTTGGTTCTCACCTTGTGCTTTCTACATGGGTTCTGTGGCTAGAACTAAAACGGTCAGGCTTGAGCAACAAGCACTTTCTCTGGCTGAGTGGTCCCTCCCAGGGCCCCGATGTCGTTTTTTGCTGGTGGACTTTGCCTAGAAACACAATGAAGGGAAAGGAAAGAGAGAGGAGCCTTTGGATCTTAGAGTTCCTGAATGATTCTAAACTGTGTTCAGGACTTGATGGAATGGGGTATGTGAAAAAGGTGTAAAGCTTCCAGAATGAACCGGGTTGCCCCCTCTCACCTCTAGCCCCAATCCTATGGCACCCTTAAATAAATGAGGTCAGATTAAAATGTTCCTAAGACTTAAGAGGTGAGATGGTTTGCTTATGCGTATGACCTATGTCATGTCATTCTATCAGACATTATTAATGTTGTAAGGGAAGAACAAGGACACATCCCATAATAATTAGCTTTCAGAAGTAGCAGAGTGACACACAAGCCCAGGATCACCACAATGACACTTGTCACTTACAAAGTCCCTTGGATGGTCTTTGTGAGGCATACATGAGATAATGCCTGTCAGGAGGCCTGATGCATTGTGTGGACCAACGCTGCTCAGTTTGTCTCCTCCAGGTCTGTTAGAAAAAGGTTCTCAAAGAGCAGAACTCAGCCTACTAGCTTAACACTGGTAGGGCTTTCATTGCAAGGCTTGTCACTGGCAAGTACTCTTTCCCATCCCATCGTGAGTCCTCCCAATAAGCTTGTCTCCTCCTCTTATGAAGAATATATCCTTCAGCCTTCAGTCTCACACCAAAAGCAACCGGGCGCCCTAAAACTTAAGCTCGATGCCCACACTAAGCAAGGGGAGAGGAGGGTTTGAACTCAGGTGTGTAGGACCCAAAGCCCTTTCCATTTACCCCACTAAAGGGCTGGCTATGGAGCTTGCCTGATTGAATTACAAATTTCTGTCTGGTTATTACCTTAAATGATTCATTCAAATTGTCTTCATGGTGGTAGGGATATAGCTGAGTCCATTAACGGAGCCCCTCCAAACCGTGCCACAGTTGATAAGTAACTACCAACCAGGAAGCCAGGAAAGCAAATGCCACATAAAATTTCCTATTTTTTTTTTTTAAAGAATTGCAGTTTGTGTAGATAAAAAAAAAAAAAAAAAAAAAAAAAAAAAAAAAGAACTGCAAGGAGATGCAGCCACAGAAAATCTATCAGTTCTTTGCAGTGTCATCAATCACAAAAGCGCAAGGAAAAAAGCAACCTGGACCCAGTACTCATCCTTGTGAATTATTTTTCAGGAAATCCTGCGGCTTGGTTTTTTGGGGGCTGTTTCGTTTCATTTCTTTTTTTCTTTCTCCAGGGAACAATTGCAGCTTAATACAGAAGAGGGACCCCACAATTCACATGGAACCGATTTCTATTTCTTTTTTGCTCTGCTTACACAAAGAAAATGGAAGTTTTCAAAAACAAAACAAAACAGCAAAAAAAGCAGAGAAATACAATACCTTCGGACTAATATAGAAGCGAGTGTCTGCCACTTAGAGATGGTGCCATTGCTCATTACCTGTCCTGACAGCACCTCAAATAAAGAGAAGTCTTAGCAAATTATGCCCCTCATATCACCTACCATAACACAAGGGCTCTATCAGAAGTAATGAAGTAGCCATGTAAGGTCTGGAAGCTGGATGAGGAGAGAGTTGGCCAGAGCTTAACTGCTGGCCCATCTCATTATCTTCCCCTCATATTTTTAACATATGTCCGTAATGTGCAAAATTAAAAAAAAAAAAAAACCCAAAGGTAATTTTCTATTTTATCTGACTCCGTGGAAAGACATTGTTAAATGATCATTGCTTTGATATTAAATAATTTGCATTTGCATACTGACCTTTGAATATGCAAATGAAGAGGACCTTTGTTGCAAGAAAGGAGATTTGATTTGATAATTGTTCTGATGGTAACGGGGTAAGGGGTGGGAGTGAGGGCATGGGGTGGGGGTGGAAGGGACACAGAAGCAGCTTCCTGGAAGGCAGGTTTGGTAAGGCGAAAGCCTTTTGTATTTATGTGCAGGTTCAGAAGAGTGATTGTCTTAGAGCTGTTCAAACCTGTGGCTCCGCAGCTGTAATCAAAACCAGCGGGGGAGGCCCTGACTTATATCCCTGGCAGAGAACTCCTGGAATGCATAATGCATACGGAAGAGGTGAGAGGAATTCAGTCATTCTCCAGGTAACAGTTTTCACGCCTGGCTCTGAGGACACCTGAGAACATGGAAGGTTGTCGCCCCAAATCAAACAATAACTAAACACCCATCCGTTTTCAAATAGGTCTTTTAACACCATCACGCACTGAAGACAATGCTTGATGTTCTCAGAAGTGAGGAGTGAGTCCGTATATGTTCCAGAACAACGATGCAGTGGACCTTTTTTAACCTTGAGCTAAAATATCTTGGTTGTCTGCTCGCCACAATTGTCTCCTCCAGCTGAGCAAGTTCCCCAAACAAGTAGGGCTTGGGCAGTTACTCCTTGGTCTTCAGGCCAAATCAAAGTCTACCATTTTTTCAGTGGTGGAAGTCACTTCTTAGGCAGAGAGAAGTTTCTCGGGGGGGGGGGGGGGGGGGGGAGTCGGGTCTTGGAGAAGACGTTGCGTTTTCTCTGGGTGAGGCTGACGACTCCACCTTCTTTTATTCATATACATTCACATGTACTCTTGGGCGTGTTACTATCTTGTGTGTCTGTTTCTTTCTCTGTAGTGCTGAGCAACATCCTGCTATGGCCTCTTGCTAGCACTTAAGCTATTTATTAATACTGCTCAGGTCTACTAGGGTCATGGGGAGTTAACTTGGGACTTAGAAACATGGAAGCAGACACAACTGAAGCCATCTCAAGTGGATCTGAAACGGAGTGGCAGCACGATGAGATTCACATCACAGTTCAGTGAAAACGAGCTTCCAGCATTCTCTTATATGCCAATGGTGCACAGTCATCCCCGATACCGCTTTAAGCACCATCTTAGAGCTGACAAAACGGGTAAAGGTTAAACTAGGGTTTCACCCAATCTTACACGCTTAATGACTTGGCCAGGAACCAGTGACTCAGAACTTACATAAACCATTAGCTGGCTTTGTAGCTTTGCGGCCTTGAATCAGTCATTTCGTTTATTTGTAAGTTCATTTTTATTGTGGATAGAATTACATATTCTCTGGGCCCTTTTCTATTCTTGACAACCTATGAGGCCCTGTAGAGAATAGTTTGGTATTGAGGAAGGAGAGAAAGACACAGAGACAAGGAAGGGGAGGAGAGAAGATGTCTATGGGTGACTATAATTGAACACACCAGCATCTTTGTGGCTTATTAGGAATCCATTCTTGTGCAGTGTGTCTATATATCACACTACTGCTTTATAAATGAGGAAACTGTAGTGTAGAAAGTTTGTTAACTTGCCAAGGTCACAGCGCGAAGTCAGAGCATCTGGCAGTTTTACTGACAATATTAAATAGTATTCTCTAGATTATCTGAAAAGTCAATACATAAAACACATCTGAAAACGTCTGCTTAATAATGCAGAGATGTGTTTCATGTTGTGTAATCAAAGAGCTTTTGATAGATATAAATCAAATTCTATTTGTCACGGGCAACACTTAAATTTGTTTGATCTTCAATGGATGATACCTCTGTTAGATTTTCCCCCCCTGTACTAGTTCTGTACTGAGCCCTTAACCTTGATCTACTCATTCAGTGCACAATGAAATTTCAGAATTCAATGGACCCTGCGGCGAATCATTCACAATTCTTTTACTGTCTGTTAACAATGAAATCCATTCATTTTCATGGACCTCTAGATCCCAAAGTTTTGATATCTACCAACTGGGGGGAAAATGGCCTCCAATCTAACCTCCTGGACAAAGTTTTAAAAATAACATATGTATGACAAAGATTAGACCAGAGTTGTACTCACAGAAGGCCCCATCTGTTTTGTAAATCTGAATTTTTGCTTTAAATTTTTGCTTATTCAGTTTCTCCAAGAGCTTTTGGTAAACTCATAAATCTTTTGACACATATACATACTATATATATATATATATATATGCATATATATACATATACACACTTTTAAAATCTCAACAGTAAAATAAAATCAAATAACTCATCCCTTTCCTTCTCTCTCTCTTAATTTCCCCATTTGAGAGAAATTATCTTCGTGAAGATTCTTGATGGCAGAAGAATTTGCTTCTCAAATAGAGCGCTCATGTCTGTGTTTCTGCTGGAGGCTGCAGGCATTGGAATGCCTGTTCGCTTCACAGATTCCCATAAAATCCAACTTCTCCCCACCATACATCTTTCTGATTACTGCTCAGCTATATTCATTTTGACAAGGAGAAAAACAGGCTCCATTGTTAAGACCAAAAAGCCTGAATCATTTTGTTTCAGTGACAGCATATGGATCTATTTAGAGGCTGGGCTCCTTCACACGCTTTGTGCCTGGATTAAAATTTCACTTTCTCAACCAGTATGCATGCCTTTAGACAAGAATGTTGTTATTAGTAGAGGAAGAAAATCCTTATGTAAGTATCCTACATTTATACATATCCTGTTATGTGTACACACACAGTATGTGTGCGTATGCTCTATGACCAGCTCTCACCAAAGAGACCATCTCCAAAACAACTGTTAAAACTATCACATCCTGAAAATCTCAGCCCTTGGGTCCTCTGGAGAGTAAGGCATTGTGGTTTACTCATGATAACCAGAAACAGGGAAAAGTTAACTGCTTGGCAGTGGTGGATCATGTTTCTTCAATAATCCATTACGTACCGGACACTGATTTGTTTCAGGTTTAGCCTTTATTCAAACAGCAAATGTAGACAATTCTTTAGCTGCCTGACAGCGGGTTTGACCATGAACTTGCTTCAGAGGACACTTCTTTCCTTCCTTGTCACTCATGGCAATGGAGGCGGGCATCGGGAGCCCGTGTATAGTGAATATCAGTTTGCAGTCCTGAAATTTTGATTGAAATCCAAGTCTTTTGGCACTTCACTACATTTGCCTTTGGCAAAAAGAAACTCTGTTTTCAAAAAGAAACGAGTTGTAAGAGGACTTTATTAAAAAGGGCTCAACCAGCTGTTTAAAAGGCTATTTTGATGATGTCAGTGCCCGGGAATAAAAAACACATGGGCTTCAATTCCGTCTAACTATACAAGCCTTTAAAAATTAAAGGAATTGTGTTGAGAAAAATATGCTGTGGGCATATTAACTGAGAATCAGTCTTCCATGGTTTCTAAAGAGCCTCGTCCTGTCGGGGAGACAACCACAACTATTGATAATCATGAAGACATGTGAGAACAGCTGAATGAGAACCAAGAGGGTCATGTTTGAGTACCCAATTGAGAGTGGGTCCCTCACAGCCAGCAAAAACACTCATAAAGGCCACCCTCCCCTCCCTGCCCAACAATAAAGTAGTAAAGGAGGGAGACTGAATGACCCTCTTCTAAGGAACAGCCACACTTTCTGTGGTGAATTATTTCCTACCTAAGGGTTGACTCGCTTGTGGTGTAGACAAAGCCTGGAGTCTAGGGTACTATTGGGTGTTTACTGTCTATGGAAAGTCATGGAGCTTTCTCCATGTGGCCTTCAAGTCCTGAGCTCATTCTGCTGACACTGAAGGGGGCTTCGGCTTCCATAAATTGAGGGAGAAGAGAGTCTAAACAATTCACTTCTCAATTCTTAAGGTGACATGACATGACACCTCTTTGCAGGCAAAGATGTGGTGGAGTTTTGACAAATGAGTGCATTCATACCCAGATGCTGTGGCAAACACATTGGGAAAGCATGATTGATGTTCCTGAACAGCCACTGCTTGCTCTTAATTTGGTGAAAAATAAAAGTATGTGTCTTCACTTGCTGGCTCTGAGGTCTCCTGGCCATTTCTTTGGGGATGTTGTAATAGGATGTGGGGAACCCGAGGCTGGGGACAGCAGACGGAAATAACCAAATCAGATCTGTCTCAGCGATATCCCAGTGCAAGTTCTTCTTAGCATGACTTTAAAATGGTACTAGCTCTTTAGTTCAACTAGACATAGCGGCCCAGTCTGAGCAAAGTGGCAGGATTAGCCCACCTGTTGCTCTGCAGGATGCCAGCTGTTTAGAAGGTAAGGGAGGGGTTGGCTCTCCCCATTCTTGCCTGGGAGTACAGCGTGCTATGCTCCCTGTTGTGGGTAAATACACACCAGCATATGGTAGATGCTTAAGAAGAAGTTGTCATTTTAAGTAGATGACCGTCATTTGTCATTTGCAGATGCTCTCCATGAAGATAACCATTTCTGTTGCCAGTTGGACAAGGAGCAGAACTAAGAAGCAGAGAGGAGACATGACTTGCTTGTGTCCACACACTCTGACAGAAAGTGACCCAAGGGATATAAAAGTCCAATCCGTCCAATTCCAAAGTACACACGTTTGAAGTTGAACATAGTCACAGAAGTAGCTGAAATGGAAAAAACAGACAATTTGATGGCATGGAGGGACCGGATCTCGCACACTCTCCCGGCAGGAGTGTAAATCAATACAACTACTCTGGAAAACCACTAAACGATCTTGACTTAAGCTGAGCATCTTCACACCTCCACAGTCCTATCACCTCACTTTTAGGAATACAAATGTAAAATGTGTCTTAAAGACTGAAGTGTGTATATAAATGTTCGTAGAAGGCTCCCATATTTATAGTGCCCCAAACCAGAAACAACCAAAATGTCCATCATAGTAGAATTGGTACAAAAGTTGATTTTCATTCATATGGTCCAGTGAAATATGATGCTAAAAATGAGGAGGCCATAGCAGTCAAACACCTGGGTGAAATGTCATACATAAAGGGGAATAAGAGAAAGCATATATAAAGAAGTATGTTCTACTATGACTCATTTATACAAAATTCAAAATGGTGGAAGTCAATTAGATTGGATGGTGATGTCATAGATGGTCCTGGGGGAAGAGGAGGTGACTGAAGAGAAGCATAGATGCATCTTCTGAGGTACCTCGAAATGTTTGTTTCTTATCTGGGTTCTAGGTACTTGGACACGATCACTTAGTAAAATTTTATTGAGAAATACCTGCCGGTGTTACACATTAATGTACAACCTCCCCTTGTAAGATTTTTTTAAAAAATAGATTTTTTTAGAGCAGTTTTAGATTTCACATCAGATAGAGAGGAGCCTGCAGTGATATTCTATGTACCTCTTTCCCTCACATGCGCACAGCCTGTACCCTTATCAGTTATGGCCAAGCACAGTGGTACATGGCTGACACCCGATGAAGCTGTGTTAACCAGGGTGGATTCTTGGTGTCGTCAGTCTATTGGTTTAGAGAAATGTGCCCTGGAATTTATCTGCCTCTTCAGGATCATTCAGAATTTTTCTGTCCCAGTAATCCCCAAGTCTCAGTACACAAAGACCATTGCCATGTAAGTGTGATGAGCCGAGTTTAACTCTCCATGAAGAGCTGGGTGAACGGTGTGTCTGTAATCCCAGCACTCCTATAGTGAGATGGAAGGTGGGGACAAGAGAACCTTTGGAAGACGGCTAGTCTGGTGTACTCGGCACAGACAAGAGACCTTTTGTCAAACCGAGTAGAAGACAACAATCACTTAAGGTTGTCCTTCCACTTCCATGCATATACACATGTGCGCACACACACACACACACACACACACACACACACACACACACACACACACACATTCTGAAGCCTGACTTCTCCTTCATAGCCTGTGTCAATCATTTACGTTTTTCTGTCTATAGTTTGGACTTTTCCACAGTGCCATACTGTTGACACCATTATGTGCTGGCTTCTTCCACGTAGTTTTTTTTTTTTTTTTTGAGTTTTATTTTATTTTTATTTATTTATTTTTTTTATTTTGCAATACAATTCAGTTCTACATATCAGCCACGGATTCCCTTGTTCTCCCACTCCCGCCCCCCTCACCTTCCCCCCAGCCCACCCCCCATTCCCACCTCCTCCAGGGCAAAGCCTTCCCTGTGGACTGAGATCAACCTGGTAGACTCAGTCCAGGTAGGTCCAGTCCCCTCCTCCCAGGCCGAGCCAAGCGATCCTGCATAGGCCCCAGGTTTCAAATAGCCGACTCATGCAATGAGCACAGGACCCGGTCCCACTGCCTGGATGCCTCCCAAACAGAACAAGCCAATCAACTGTCTCACCCATTCAGAGGGCCTGATACAGTTGGTGATCCCTCAGCCATTGGTTCATAGTTCATGTGTTTCCATCCGTTTGGCTATTTGTCCCCTGTGCTTTATCCAACCTTGGTCTCAACAATTCTAGCTCATATAAACCCTCCTCATTCTCACTAATTGGACTCCCAGAGATCCACCCGGAGCCTAGCCATGGATCTCTGCATCCAGATCCCTCAGTAGTTGGATGGGTTTCTAGCACAACAATTAGGGTGTTTGGCCATCCCATCACCAGAGTAGGTCAGTTTGGGCTGTCTCTCGACCATTGCCAGCAGTCTGTTGTGGGGGTATCTTTGTGGATTTCTGTGGGCCTCTCTAGCACTTTGCTTCTTCCTATTCTCATGTGGTCTTCATTTACCATGGTTTCCTATTCCTTGTTCTCCCTCTCTGTTGTTGATCCAGCTGGGATCTCCCACTCCCCAAGCTCTCTTTCCCTTGACCCTCGCCCTTCACTATCCCCACTCATGTCCAGGCTGTTCATATAGATCTCATTCCATTTCTCTGTCATTGGGTGATCCCCATGTCTTTCTTGGGGTCCTGTTTTCCAGGTAGCTTCCCTGGTGATGTGAGTAGCAGTCCAGTCATCCTTGTTCCACATCTAGTATCCTCCTATGAGTGAGTACATACCATGTTTGTCTTTCTGAGTCTGGGTTACCTCATTCAGGATGATTTTTTTCTAGATCCATCCATTTGCCTGCAAACCTCATGATGTCATTGTTTTTCTCTGCTGAGTAGTATTCCATTGTGTATATGTACCCACATTTTGTTTATCCATTCTTCATTTGAAGGGCATCTAGATTGTTTCCATGTTCTGGCTATTACAAACAATGCTGATATGAACATAGCTGAACAAGTGCTCTTGTGGTGCGGTTGAGCATTCCTTGGGTAAATGCCCAAGAGTGGTATAGCTGGATCTTGGGGGAGATGGATTCCCAATTTTCTAAGAAAGTGCCATATTGATTTCCAAAGCAGTTGTACAAGCTTGCATTCCCACCAGCAGTGGAGGAGAGTTCCCCTAGCTCCACATCCTCTCCAGCATAAGGTGTCTTCAGTGTTTTTGATCTTAGCCATTCTGACAGGCGTAAGGTGGTATCTCAGAGTTGTTTTGATTTGCATTTCCCTAATGATTAGGGATGTTGAGCAATTCCTTAAATGTCTTTCAGCCATTTGAGTTTCCTCTGTTGAGAATTCTCTGTTTAGTTCTATAGCCCATTTCTTAATTGGACTGTTGGGCATTTTGATGTCTAATTTCTTGAGTTCCTTATATATTCTGGATATCAGTCCTTTGTCAGATGTGGGGTTGGTGAAGATCTTTTCCCATTCTGTAGGCTGTCCGCTTTGCCTTGTTGACTGTATCCTTTGCTCTACAAAAGCTTCTGTTTCAAGAGGTCCCATTTATTGATTGTTTCTCTCAGTATCTGTGCTACTGGTGTTCTATTTAGGAAGTGGTCGCCTATGCCAATGCATTCAAGACTACTTCCTACTTTCTCTTCTAGCAGGTTCAGAGTAGCTGGATTTATGTTGAGGTCCTTGATCCACTTGGACTTAAGTTTTGTGCACGGTGATAGATATGGATCTATTTGCAGCCTTCTACATGTTGATATCCAGTTATGCCAGCACCATTTGTTGAAGATGCTTTCTTTTTTCCATTGTGCACTTTTGGCTTCTTTGTCAAAAATTATATGTTCATAGGTGTGCGGATTAATGTCAGGGTCTTCAATTCGATTCCATTGGTCCACATGTCGGTTTTTATGCCAGTACCAAGCTGTTTTTATTACTGTAGCTCTATAGTAGTGCTTGAAGTCAGGGATCGTGATGCCTCCAGAGGTTTGTGTTGTTGTACAGGATTCTTTTGGCTATCCTGGGTTTTTTGTTTTTCCATATGAAATTGAGTAGTATTCTTTCCAGGTCTGTGAAGAATTGTGTTGGTATTTTGATGGGGATTGCATTGAATCTGTAGATTGCTTTTGGTAAGATTGCCATTTTTACTATGTTAGTCCTGCCTATCCATGAGCATGGGAGATCTTTCCATTTTCTGACATCTTCTTGATCTCTTTTGATTGATTTTAGTTTGAAGTTTATTTTGCTGGATATCAGGATGACTATACCCGCTGTTTTTTAAGACCGTTTGATTGGAAAGTCTTTTCCCAACCTTTTATTTTTAGGTAGTGTCTATCTTTGAATTTGAGATGTGTTTCTTGTATGTAGCAGAAAGATGGTTCCTGCTTTCGTATCCATTCTGTAAGCCTATGTCTTTTTATAGGTGAATTAAGTCCATTGATATTAAGGGATATTAATGACCAGTGATTGTTCATTCCTTTTATTTTTGACACCATTGTGTGCTGGCTTCTTTCACGTAGTTTTAAGATCCTGTTTCCTATGCATTTTTTCATGTTTGGATAGCTAACTTTTCAGTGGTAAATAATATTCCTCTGTTGGGATGCACTAAAGTTTAATTATGCATCCGTTCACAGAAGGGTTCCTTGGTGGCTTCAAAGGTTTAGAAATGACTTTTAAAGCTTCTATAAGTGTCTGTGTTCAAGTTTTTTTGTGGATATCAATTTTCAGCTCCTTTGGATGAATACAAAGGGATGTAATTTCTTGATTGAAGGGTAAGAACATCTTTACATTTACAACAGCTCTCCACACACATAGCCTTCCAGATTGGCTGGTCGTGTTGCATTCCCATTGGCAATGCAGGGGAGTTCATGATGCCTTGTGATTCAAGCAGCTTCATTCTGTCAGATCTCAGCCATTCCAGCAGGCTCCAGTTGGAATCACTGTTGTAGTGAGCATACTCTGATGACCTGTGGGACAGGGCACATTATCCTGTGCTCATTAGTTAGTCTTCCATGTGGATGTTTCCAAGTGAAATACAATTTATGATGGGGTTATTCATCTTATTGATGAGTTTCAGTTGCTTTTTCAATTTTTCTTTTTTGCCTTAGCACTTTTATTTGAAGATACAACTTTTTAATTTTGATGAAGGCCAATTTGTCACTTTCTTTTTCATGGATTGAGTACATGGTGCCATAGCTAATGAGACATTGTCAACTCCGCTGCCCTCTCTACTTTCTTCTATTTTATCTCCTAAGAGTGACGTATACTTGGAGTTCATATTTAGGTCTGCTGTCTAGTTTAAGTGGACATTTATAAAGGGTGGAAGGTCTGTGTTCTGATTTATTTCATTTCATTTTATTTGCATACAGTCCACTTGTACCATTAGTTGAGAATGATATCTCCACCATATTGCAATTGATTTGGCTGCTTTAAAAAATATTTATTGTTGTTTTCTTTCATTTTGTGTGTATGAGAGTTTTGCCTGAAAGTCTGTGCTCCATGTGAGCGCAGTGCCTTTGGAACCCAGAAGAGGGTGCTGGGTTCCCTGGAACTGGAGTGACAGGTGGTTCTGAGCCACCACATGAGTG